ACCCCATCTCCCCCCACCCCCCATGGTGCACAGCCCCTGCTCCCACCGCCAGCAGCAGCAGCAGGTGACTCCAGCTGAGTCCCAGAGGCTGCACATGGTGCATGAAGCCTGCCTGGCCCAGCCCACTGACACAGGCCTTCGAGTTGAACTGGACTGACTCTGTGCCAGCACATGGGGCTCACGGCACTACAGGCAGGAGTCATGTGCCATCGGGCTGGGCCAGCCAGCTCCATGCCTCCACATGGAGCTTCCAGCACTCCAGTGGGAAGCCACATGTGGAGGCATGCAGCCTGCCTGGCCTGATGGCGTATGGCTCCCTCTTACAGTGCCAGGAGCCTCATGGGCTGGCATGGAGCCAGCCCAGTCTGGTTTGAAGGTACGCACCACCAGGTTATCCCAGGCCGGCTCCGTGCCTCCACATGCAACTCCTGGGACTCGGCCAGAGCCATGCACTGCCGGGGGGGCTCTGCCCGCTGCAGCCATGAGTATCCTAAGAGACACTGCCTGCTGCTGCTGGCACCAGCAGTGGGGGCTGTGTACCATGGGGGATGGATGGACGGATGTGTGGCGGGGGGACACACACCCACCCACAAACCCCACACCCACCCAGATGGGGTTTTTCGCACAGATATTAAGGCTATAAGACTAAAGGTAAAAATAATAATAATAATAATAATAATAATAATAATAATAATAAAAGTAATTAATTTTCCATAATTTTGAATTTTTCTGTGCGTAATTTTGAATTCTTTTCTACATAATTCCCCGGGGTGTATTTAAGGGTGATGAAGAAGAAATCAAGTAAAACCTCTATCTTCCCATCAGCTGAGAAACTGATTAATCAGAGGAACCATTCGCAAATGATTAACAAGAGACCAAGTAGGGATTCGGAGGAGAGGAGCCCCACCACCCGTACCAGAGCTGTAGCTGTCTGTGGAAGACTGAGAGATGGAGCGAGACAGGGACCTGCGGCCAGACTTGGTTGGGAACTTGGTGAATTCCTGCATGTCATCTGCAAACTGGATCTGCTGAAAGATACAAAGCAAGAAGAGTTACCGGCACACATTCACTGGAAACACCATCACCCCTTCTGCTCCATCACGGGGCCCCTGCTGTAGTACCAGGAGTTACATTACTGACCAGTCCCCTGCTAGTTGGTTAATGGGACTTACAACCAGGCTTCACAAGGAGCCAGAGTTACAATTCCACCCCCTGCTCCTTTGCTCAATGATTCTTTTCCCTTTGGTTATTTCTTCAATAAGAAGATGAATGCAGATTTAACATGGGATGGCAAGTGGTGAACAAGCCCTCAGCCTGCTCCCATGCAACACCTTTAATCCTACCCCACCTCCCCAGCTGTTCTCAGGAGGAATCTTGGAGCAACCCTTAAAACATGGGACTCTGGGCAATCACCCCTAAAGCCAAGCCACGTGGTGACAAAGGCAGCAGGCGTGACACTCAAGGAAGCTGGTCATGGAAACAAACTTCACCCTGTGAGCTGATTTGCCTTGGTTGGGTAACAAGTGAAGTTGTGAAAGCAAACCAGATGCAGGTGAAAAGACACCACCACGTGGAATAGTATCATTCATGCCTCAGAAAAGCCTTCACCCCAGCAGCGAAGTCCCCCAGGAGCTAAAAATTATTTCTAGGGAGGACCTTGTCATGAAAGCAGGCGGTGGAAAACAAAGTGTCTCATCAAAACGCGGTTGCCACTGTGCTCGTTTTCAGTCCCTTCTGCTACTGCAGATGTTTCACCTGTAACACAAGCTCTCTCCTCCAGTCTCTCTTTCCACTGCACCTAGCAGCAAGATGCAGCTCAGGACTCTATTGCTTACCACTGGAGTTTTATAAATCCAAGGGGTAAGGCTGAAGGGAGAAACATCAGGGGTAGAGTCCCAAACTTTTTCATTCTTATGGACCTACTGCATAATCAGCTGGAGAACACCCTTATCATCTCTGTGTAAGGAGCACGAGAGGCGTGAAATGGAAACCAATGCAGCTTTGGGGAAGCGTTTGAAAACCATCTTAAAACGGAAAATAAAGCTAGTATTTACTGCAGCTTTAAAGCCAATTTTCCGCTTCTACATGTTACAAAGCAGTTGCACAAAGAAGATAAAGCACCCGACCAGCAAAGAGCTGCTCTGGTTTTGTTTTCATCTTTGCAGCACAGGATTTCATCGCACCATTTAAGATCCCCAGTACTAAGAGTTAAAATGCGAGCCCAGCAACCCAGGGCAGAGTCCAGTCAGGAGAGAGCCCTGAAGAAATCAAAAGTTGAAGGAGTACTTCATCCAAGGTGACTCAACCCAAAACAACTCTGTGTACCACTGAGTCCCCATGCTGGATGGCTATTATGCTATCATGGCTGCCCAGGCTAGTGGGCAGCTGCGTTGCTGCCATCAGTGGAAACATTCCCAGGAAATACTGCTAAACTGAGTTTACAACCATCTTAGCCTGGAGATGGCAGATAGACATCTCAAGAGTTCAGATATCCCATGATGTGCATGGCATAAGAATATCAAGAGCCCAGAAACTACTGACAATAGCAGCAATGGTGCATGCTGCTGTTGAAAGGTTTGTGGATAAGTGATTCAGCAGAGCTCCTGATTAACATCTGAGCTGTGCTAAGCAACTCTCATGGTTTGTGGAAGGGACTAAGGGGAGGTAAAAAGCTTCCAGCTGGCCCAGGGAGCAAGGGGCCAGAAGGCCCAGAGAGAGAACAGAGGGCCCAGGGAACAGGTAGGGCCAGGGTGCCCATAGGTCTCACTGGCCTAAGAGTGGAGCTAGAGCTCAGGAAGGGCCAAAGGCCAAGAAGGGCCACAGCCGGAGACTGGTGAGGCTGGAGAGCCCAAGAGCCTCAACTGGCCTAGGAGTGGGTCCTAGGTCTAAGGACTGAAGGCCAGGAGGGCCACCGCTAACGACCAAGGGGGCCAGAGTGCCCATAGCCAAGAGAGGAGCTGGTATAAGGAGGAACAGAGCCTGGAGTCCATTGCTGTAGTTATGAGTTGATTAGTATGTGTGACATCTGCAGGGCATGGGTGTGGAGACTGAGGAGGATGAAGCCCACACAATTAGCCCTTAAGGCAGAGAGTGGAGGCACCTGAGCTCAGGAGTGAGCGATCAGGTTTGGGAAGCCCTGGGGCAGACTCCCTTTTTCTAAATGATAAATACATCAAGGCATGGCAGGCGAGAAGACGGGGGATTGCCCCAAAAAGTGAAGTTGACAAGGACTGAAGGGGCTCCAGGGGCATCATGGCCATGTGGGTCCCTTTTACAAGTAGGACTACCATAGTGAGGATGAAATCCCCCAGCCAGGTTTGTTCTTCCCAGCTTCAGAGAAAGGCAGATCCAGATCTTCTGATACATTTGCTGGTAATACCACCCAAGCTGGCTCTTGAAACAAAAGACCAAAGTTGCTGAGGTCCACAAAGCTAGCAACAAAACACCTGGTACGTATTGCTGACACTCAAGAGAGAACTGCTTTAAGAGGCCTCATATCTCCAGCAAGACAGAATTGCCCTCTGAGTGAGGCTGAGTTTCAAATCCCTCAGTGACGACAACTGTTTCAAGCCAACCAGCTCCTGTACTGCAGGCATGACTGGAGGTTTTCCACAGACATTAATAACATGCCTCATTCACTGAAGCAATGACCCATTGCTGGGTGGTATCAAGGGCTGCTGAGAACCCCAGTGTGATCCAAATGGCTGAAATACTCTGTAGGTCATTTGTGACTAATCCTCTCCATTGCCCCTAAAGGCAATTTGAAAGCTGGAACCTACTGTCCAAGAGAAGGAGGATGGTCCAGCAGTTATGGACTAACCTGAAACTTGGGAAACCTGCCCCATGTCTCTGGTCTCTGTCACTTGAATGACCTTGAGATGGGACCTTCAGCCTTGTCTCACAGCCCTTATCTGTACAGCACTGATAATGCCCTTCCTTACCTGTCATGAACGCAGGTCAGAAGTGTGCACCATCCCTGGTTCCCATGACCACAGTGTATAAACACCAGTTTTCAATCAGTTTGTCCCACAGCCCATGTGCAACTGGGATGTGCTACCGCCCCCAATTTAAAAACAAGAAAAAGACACAAAAGACCAAGTACCAGTAAGTTTACATCCATTACACTAAGGGTAACCACATAAGTGCCTTAGTCTAGATCAATCTCCAAGGTCAGTCGTGCAGAAAAAATTAGCACATCTGATCTGCCACTTCTGCCACCCCCCTAATCATCAGGTTTACAGTTGTCCCTGCAAGTTTTTAACCTACACTGCACACATGCACTCAGGAGCTGTGACAAACACAAGCATATTAAGCACAGTAATTGTTTTTCCTAACATAGTCCCAGCTTCAGTGTTGGTGGACAGGGCTTATGTTCACGTGAAGTATATGTCTACTTGAAGTGCCAGGGCCAACCGTCCAACGGAGCCTGCTTTAAAGCTGTGATTGCAGAAGTAGCTCTCTTCTGTCTGCTCTTCCTTATCAGCTTTGTTACAGCTTGGTATCTGGTTTCCAGAATAGATTTCCCGGCACACCATGTGATTTGTATTGCAGCAAGATGAATCTGGTTTACTCGAGTGGTTACATACAATTCACAGGTATGGTTTTGCAACCGTTTTACACTGTTTTATTTAGGTGGAAAAACCATCAAGAGGCTATGGCAAACTACAAAGTCCTGTAGTATATGGTTACTGAAAGATAACGAGCAGGCAGAATCAGTTTACTCCGGGTCCAGGTCAGGCCCGCTGGCACACTGACAATCAGATGTTGATGCATACACTCAATCTCCAGCCCAAGAACAATTTCTGGACTCTGTTCATGGCCCGTTGCCTGTAACAATCTTCCTCCAATCACCTCAAGAAAACCCCACACCTTCTTCAAGGAAGATTGGCAGGTGACCGGAGTGGTATTCACGTAAAGTACTGTTGACATATCTTCTCGAGAAGAGATTAGCGGCTTTAGAAATTCCAGACCCCCACTTCCTCCCATGTTCAAAGGAAGAGGGTGTGTGCATGGCACCCAAAAAAGCAGCCTCTGCTATTAAAACAAATTTCAAATGTTAGCTTAGGAATTTTCTTAGAGCAAGTTAAAGGTGGGGGAGGCTTTCAGGGCTGGAAACATGGAGGAGAAACTAAAAACATGAACTCTGTGGAAAGGATAGGCAACTGCTTTATTTCACTGGTCATGACCTAGCTGGTCCTTGATCATGGTGTCCCAAAGTGTTTGCCCAAATATCCTCTGAGCTCACTGAACTCCGGCATGGGAACACATGCAGCCAGGGCAAAGCCTCCTACTCCAAGACTACCTTAAATCAAACCTTCTTCTGAACAAACGGTCTCTTGAGAAAATCTTGCTCTGGAGTCAACTGGTGGCAGGAGATGGACTCTCGCTAACTCACCCAAATCCTTCTCAATGCCACCATTACCTGGATGATGATGACCCTCTGGTCATTCCTTGCACTGCCCTCACCAGCAGCTCTTTCAGCTGAGTCCTGAGCAAATGCCAAGACACAAACCCCTTGGAGAATAAATGTGACACTTGCATCAAGAATTTTTTCAGTTCTATAAAGGGGAGTTTGGATCCAGGCAAAATTGGTTGCTAAAGAAACCAAGTGCTGAATTAACCACAGTAATCCCCGCGCCAGCTTTAACGCAGCTCATCTGAACTCTGCAGCTTAGCAAAATCTGCCCTGTCTAAAAATATTATCAAACCCTGCAAGCAGCTTACTAATCAAATGAATGATTCCAGCATTAAACCTCCTTCAGACCCAGCCTGCAACAAACTAACAGGATATCTAGACTAGCTAAGAAGGGAGGGGAAAAACAGTTTACCCAAACCAGGGCAAGGGACCAATCTAACTGCATGCTCAGTGATGTCCTCCACTTAATACCATCCATTCAACTTTGTTGATGTGCTGGGCTCTCTAGCTGGCATTAAGGGGAAAATCCTTGTTGTAATCCCTCAAACTCCAATTACATACTGACTGCAGGGTCCCTCCCTGCCCTGCACGGCTGTGGAATGCAACCACCCA